TAGCGTTTTGTGGTGCAATTCAATAAGTAAATAAAAGTAAACTTTGCTTTAGATTTCACTCAGTTAGTTCTATAATATACCAGCAGTGTGTTGATTTGTATCATAACCATTCGTTTCTGTTAAACATGTGAGTTTATGTTCGGTTTTTAACATGATTTAACTATTATTTTCGTTTCACATTTCTTCCTTGGCGCTCATATGACCTTATGCAGTTGTGAACGCCGTAAAAGCTCTACTATAACGGAAAAAATATATCGTCCTTATCACTCCTTCTTTTTTGTGTTTGTTACTCTCTCGTAACACCTTAAATCTTCGGCACTTATATGACCTTATTGTGTTGCAAGTGCTGTCAAACTCTTACTAAAATAATACATAGAACCCCAAGATCTGCATGAAGTAGTGCTTGATGAAACTCACGTGGGACGCTCACTGTTAAAAACAATCAGGAAACAGCAAATTATGCAGTTTTTGGGACACCTGAATAGACATAAAGGTCTTACACATCTAGCACTCACTTTCAAAATTGAAGGCAAACGAGGCAAGTGTAGGCCCAGAGCAACCTACTTAGGGAACCTAAACAAATGGGTAACTGGGAAAGATTAGGGAAATTTAACTTTTTAAAGAGCTTTCGAGCCAAAGAATTAATGGAGCACCATGACTGCAGATGTCAGTCACAGATTTGGCACTGGATGATGATGACACAAACCCCTTGCTAAAGCTGTGATTTCATAAGGTATTCTCTTCCCCCCCCCCCCCCCTCCTTCCGCTTAAAAAACCACAACTACAACAAAACAACAACAACAACAAAACAACAACAACAACAACAACAACAAAGACAGCAGCAACAACAACAACAATAACAACAATAACAATACAAACAAAAAATAGTTAATCCCTCTGACAAGACTTTTGCGCTTCGTTTTTGTAAGAGTCAAAATTGATCATAAAGTCTCGAATGCGTGGAACTTAGAAGAATCCCAAAGACATTTGGAGCCAGAGTGTGTCGGTGCCGTCTCTTTAGGGGTCTGCCTCTTTATCTGGTTTTCTGACAATTTTCATCCAAGAATAGATGATGCTAGATGCTCTCGAGAAGGCACAAACACACAAATACTAACAGCCACATGTATCCTTCCGAACCCATATTACTTTTTCAATACATGTACCAAGATCTCAAGACTTTTTTGTCCTTACTGATTAGGTCTCAAGCCCTTCATAGAGTATAAAAACTGTTGATCTTTCTTTCCATCTAACAGTCCTCTAATCACGTAATATTATGTTCACACTCATTATTACTTCAGCCCCCGTGCCCTTTCATTTCAAAGACAAGAAGCAAAATGATGCAACCTCAAAGAGTTCAACAGATGCAATTCTTCTCATAAAGAAAAAAAAAAGCTCCTCAGCAGTTCCAAAGAACCAGACAATTTTTATAATGATAGCCGCCCAATTTGAACTGATTAATTCCACGTGACCTGAAATTACCTTGTAAAAAATATTTCTTTTATACATTATGGATAATGATAACTTTTTTTCTGGAAAATTTATTTCATCACCGAAACTCTTCTAATAGATTCCTCATTATCTGTCCGTATGTGCGTGTTTAAAAAAAAATGGTTCTTCAATAATGTACACGAGCCAATGAAAGCGGGGGGAAATATGTAGCCTTCACAAATAAACCTCATTTACTTGAGATTTAAAAATAAAATCAGGTTCAAGAGATGAGCCGCCGATCTGAGCATACATTTTCGAACCAGTTGCTGTGAACGAGCTTTTATAACGTCATTATTCTTAGTACACACGTACTAACAAACTGCAAATCGACTCTTAAGTGTAAGACTTTTCGAAACGGCATAATTAATTATGCGTTACCTTTCGAAAGGGCATAATTATGGCAAAGTCCCACCCAAAGCAGTCAAAATTCATGTTATAATTATAAGGGGAACAGCTTTAGAATTTATTAGCACCATAATGAAAAGAAAGAAACAATATATAATAAAATGAATAAGAAAACACACGAGTATCTTGAACTTTGCAAGGATCTGACGCTTGAACTACTTTATCTGTAATTTCTCACTCAGTAATTTTGACTGTATCGAGATACTTTTTAACTTTTAGGAAAATATTGAGACACGCATTACATTATCTTCCCTCTCTCGGAAGAACGGGCAATACGGTGTTTTAGTAGTGAGGGTTTTACGGCGCTCGCAGCTACATAAGGTCACATAAGCGCTCAATACAGTATAGGTCATTTTGCCAATTTGTCTGTGTTTATGTTTGTGTGTTAGGGTCTTCTCCCGAGTATTTAAAAGTCTTCTCTTGACAAAAAGCAGATCTAATCCGAAAATCAGACAAAAAGGCGATATCGAAAATGTGTCTGAGAAGAGCAAATTAGGTACTCATTCATGCAAAGAAACATAGGAAAATGAATGATTCATTATACAATTTCTGCCAGAATCGATCATAAACATTTACCGATATTTTATCACCAGATCAGTAATTTTTCCCCGGTGTTTTTCCCGTCGATTGCCTTAAGTTGCTGTCACGCGGAAGACGTCAGTATGTTTTTTCCTGTGTGTTGAAAATACTTCATCGTGTATTTTATTCTTTCAGCGTGAAAGCGTCACGCATAGCCCACAGAATTCTACACTCATAGAACGTGCACTGTACCGCGTGACCTGTGAGGAATTGAGGACCGAAAATAATGGGGTAGTGAGGGCAAAATTTATCGTTTTCGGAAGTAACCATATAGTTTTTAAAGCAAGAGCGGCTTTTACAAACGAGTGAAAAGTGGAACATTTTCTGTCTAATTTGAAAAAAAATATTTTTTGGGTAAGTGTTTTACAGCGCTCGCAACTGCATAAGGCCATATGAGCGCGCGGGACACACCTAATATTTTCAGTTGGTAGGAAATTTAGAATTTTGCCCGGATGGCGGCCGAAGCCTACTCTTATTGATTTTAGACCACCAAGGGATCGTTAACGTGCGCAACTTGCACACGGGCCCTCCGAGATTTTTCGCCCTTGTCCGAGAAGGCTAGGTGTAGATCTTTCCTACCAGAAGATCAGGGGTGTGGCTG